TGAACAAACATATGTATGCATGTATGCACATTTTCTTATGTACATATACATTCTCGAAATGCATGCACATATGTATTATTTAATGGTCTCCGGTTTGAAAAATCCGTTCTTTATTTTCAATTATACAGGACGTTTTCTGCATCAATTCTATTTTTATATTGTAGTTTTTAAATACATTTTATAAGATCTAAAATTATTTACATCAACAAAAAATTAAAAAACTTACATTTTCATGGTCACAATGTGCACACCAACAAATGTGCACTGCAACTCAATGAATATTCTCAGAGAAAATGCATCACTACGAATAACGCCACAATTATAAATGTCACCTGAAGACATACTACCGTCATAGAATGCGTAATTGTACCGTCCGTTCTGCCGTTCTAAAATAGCCAATAACATTTTTTTCTACATATTTACTTCGTATTCTCTGAATAGAGTGAGATTAGTTCTGGCTCGTTTAAAAAATATTCCACGCTTTCTTTTAATAGTACGCTCAAAATAGAAATCAAATGCATTAAAATACTTTATTTGTGAGATATTTGGTTATTTTATTAAAGGTTCGTCACTTTTGTTGATAAATACACACGGCTTCAATTCATTTGTATGGTTGTGAGCTTATTTGATTTTAATCTTATTTCAATAAATTAATATTAATTTTCTATCTACATATGTATGTATTATGTTTTACTAATGCACTATCTGATGGATTTTCTTGTTTCGTGTTAACATTTTCCAAGGCAGGAAGTGTCGTCTAAAATAGAAGCAATTAGCTGTTTGTCCTTTAAAGCTCCATTCACCTCCTCTTCGTCCCATTGCAGCAACACCTTGCACAATCGTGGTTCTTTTTTGCGCATGATTCGTAGTATGCCGCGTGTCTCAACCAACTCAACTAGTCCGGCAAACTCAGCTTGATCCAAAACGTGTATATTGCGCTTAAGACACACGCGTCGATACACTTCGTGCAGCCGTCCAATGGTTATGTCTTTATTGCGCTCTTTACGCAGCATCAACATGAGCGTACATAACGCAATCTTCTGCTGCAGTGGAAACGAGTCTTCTATGTCCTCTTGAAGGTTCTGTGAAGTACCATACACTTTGTTTAACACCTCAGCAACTTGTGTTACTTGTACTGGTTTAAGGATAACTGCCGAAAAAAAAGTAGTTTTGAGTAAGAAATAATATTTTTAAAGAAGCCACCAACTTACCCTCTTCAGTCTTTTCGTCGCTATTATTACCCAAAGCCAAGCTACTAAGATTAACCTGTCGCTGACCTAATTTCATCTGTTGTTCTGCTATTTCAGCCACTCTTCTGCCAATATCCAGTGCGCGCCGAACGTCACCACTCACTGCACTGACTTTGGCTGCTAAAAGCTGTAGTGTGACGGGCGGAAAGATATCCAGCACGCCAGCTTCTTCTAGCCTTGCCCGAAATATCTCAACTATTTGCTGTTTGGTGTAAGGTGGGAAATGCATATGACGTGGCTTTAGTTCACAACGTGCATTTAAACGCATTAGTGTACGCTCTGTAAGATCGAGACTATTGGCTATGCCTACCAAAAGCAATCGAGCTCCTGGTAGTGAAGGCCACTCGAAAATAGTATAAAGCACCGATTGTTTGGAGCTGCAAAGCTGATCGATTTCGTCCAATACAATGAGCAGCATGCGACGCGATGTTCGCAAATGATTCTGTACAGCTGCCAAATAATCCCGCTCACTGCGTCCGGAAGGATGAAGTTTTATTTCAGTACACAGCTTCTTATACACTCCATTAATGCTGGCAATGGACGTGCAATTGATGTAAACACATTGCAGTTTTTTGGATAGCTCAGGTGACCTTAAAAGCAAAGAAAGGCAAGCTGTTTTTCCAGTACCAGGTTGTCCAGACACATATAAACTACCAGATCGTTGTTCTTGTAAATGTTCCTGAAAGAATTCTCTTAGCTCTTGCAATTGTTGTTCTCGCCCAGGTAAATTTTGTGTTTCTGCGCTGTTCAAAACACGACGTGCACTTTGGTATTTGTTGCGAGTGGGTGTAACACGTGTTTCGACTTTTGCTTCCTCTGCACCAGCGGATGTGTACTCCTCATCTTCATCAGTGTCAGCAGCATTACGTTCATCTATACTCAAACGATCAATTAATCTTGAAGGGCTTATCACCTGAGTCTTTGGTTTCCAACGTGCCTGCTTAGGTGGCGATACATCTTGTTCTCTTTGCCATAATTCGCAATCATCATCACTTTCGTCATTGCATAATTTATGTGAGAGGCTAGTGCGTTTTTTGGCTAATCCAGATTTAGTGCTGGACGATGCCGATTGTACTACCTTAGCACGACGTGGTGTCTTCTGTTCCTGGACATTTGTCGTCAACTGATTGCACTTCGTTTGATTTCTATTTTTTTCTTTGCTCATAACGTTGAGAATTTCCGAATTTTCTTTATCTATTTCTGCAAACGTAGGTGATTTTCTACTCGTATTCACTTCCTCCTCGTCACTGCTTGTAACGCAATTCTTCGCTTGGCGGCGACGCCACAGCTGTGAACTGCGAGGTGTTTGAGAACTAATAACTGGAGGTGAACACGTAGATTGGCCAATGCTGCTAAGACGAGTTGAACGGCGCACTGTAGTCATAATTAAAAAAAAACGTTTATAGAATAATTTAGTAAAATAAACTAAAAGTCAGTCTTCTCAACAAATTCGATGAATTTTACATGCAAACCAAGCATCCGATGATATGGCGCCAAATTACATGACAGCTGTCATCGGAAACCAGCTGTCAATAAGGTTGCCATATAACTCAGCACAGGGTGCATCAAATGATGGCAGTAACTGTAGCCCTTAACGCAGTGCTTTGGTTAACCAGATCTTTACCTACGTATTTGTATTTCTAAATTTCAGTTTTTATTTCGTATTGAATTTTCATACATTTTTACTTTACTTCTGCTGTTGCTCTTTGCATACTGAACTCTTTGCTGCCAACAGCTGCATCAGATTTTCAGAATTACGTAAGCTACTATAAATACAAAACGAACATATCTCCGCATAGAATTCATCTATCCAAAGAGCAAACGAAGGAGAGCAAATTACGAGAGAAATTTCAAATAGACGGATAAATATACTACAAACGCAAACTATTTAAAATCGCATATAAAAAACCTAAAGGCCTTACATAGTACATATCGCACACCGTTTGCAAAAGAGTCACAACTCAAAATTACACGTTTCTCAGAAAATGCGAAAATACGATATTTCTTAGCGCATGATAATCATATGCGCAGGGCGACTTTACCTTAGGGTTTTTTTTTTTACAAATTGGAACAAAAATTTGATACAGCTTTTGCTGAAAGGTAAATAAAAGCTCTGCGGAAAAATTTCGCGCATAATCTCAAAAATGCCAAATTTTGAGTTGTGGCTCTTTTGAAGACGGTGTGCGATATGTACATATTGTTAGAAATTTTGTTCTAGAACATATTTGTATCTTTATGTATATACTTATATTTGTATTTATACATGGCAATGCATGAAAATTAATCTATCGGAACACAAACATATGTGCTTAGATGTATTTTTCTACTTCGTATTTTTTTAGCAGACATTTAATGAAATCGTTCTTTGTACATATGCAGATACATATCTCATATCGCAGAATCAAAGCAATAAGGCCGCAATTCGATTTGTTTTTTAGGAAGAGTAAAAGAATTTAATTTTTTTTTAACTGTTACATCTGCTTCATATGTTAGTTATACATAGCAGTTAAATCAGAAAATTAAATGCATATCGCACACCGTCTTTAAAAGGGGAAAAACTAAAAAAAAAAAACTTTTGGCCGATTTTTTTTTGCGTAAATCAATTCATAGGAGTTTTCGTATCTGATTTTTTAGTTGAGAAATACATACATATGTACATAATAGACTCGTCATACTTTGAAGAGTTTTGGCTATATTTCTTTAGTTTATTTTATGTTTAATATTTTTTTATAAAAGCCTAGGTATTTAGTTATACAACAAACACCATATAAATCCCCTTTTTAAACTTTGAACAAAAATTATAAAATTTCGAAAAATTTTCACCAAATTTTCAAACTTTTTATTCAAAATTTTTGGAAACATTTTTGGTAAGAGCAAGTTTCGATTGGCTACAAAATACCGTTGATTTTTAAGATTATTTTTTTTTGCTGACGGTGTCACGCATTTTTTCCCATACAAAGTGTGCTCGACAATTTTTTATTCAAAGAGAATGCCTAGCATCGTCAACCAAAAAAAAAAAAAAAAATTGTCAAAAATTAACGGTATTTTCTAACCACTTGAAATTACACTTTATTATACTAGAATTGAATGGGCTACAAAATTGTATATCAAAACTTTTTCTAAAAATTTTGCCTACCAACATTTCATACCATTCCAAGCCAATCATAAGAAGGCGGTCCTTTAATATCGCCCAGTTGTCATCCTCCAATAGTAGCGTGAGCCTTGGTGTCAAACAAATGCCGCCTACAAACAGCTGTTTTTTTCTGAGGAGCTTTTTCATGGGGTCGCTGGCGCTAGAGGTACAGAGTGGTAGCTCCGCGGTACCAAGGTTCGACCCCTGGTCAAAGAAATATCTCAAGAGAGAAAAGGTTTTTTCTCCATTTACCCATTGGAGGAGGCGTACAACTGTAGGTCTCTCCATTTGTGTAATATCATCAAAAATTGGAGGAGAAGCTCGGCCAAACACTTAGAAAAAGTATAAGCTTCAAAATATTATTGTTATTATTCCTCATTGGGAATTAAGCTCAAAGACAAAGAATTTATTCCCAAAATTTCAATAAAACGTTTGCAACATGTATTCAAATGGAATTAATTGAAATTAACTCAGTACATGCATACATATTTAAGTACAGATGTTTGTATATTCACCCGCATACATACATTTTTGCACTGTTATCAATAAAACAATAATATAGTGAACAACTTGCAATGACAAACTTTAAAAAATAATAACTTTCTCTTTTAACGCAGCCATACCGAACAACTCCACTGGTTCTGCCTGGTGCTAAAGTCAAGAAGGATGCTCCAACCACAGAATCATACTTGAGGTATCACCCGAATCCGGCTGTGCGCGCTCATCCCGGCCACGACTTCCATGACAACGTGATGAAGCAACGCGTCGCCGACACCATGTTGCACAAAGTAGTTGGCCAGGATGCCGATACTGGCAGGGTAAGACAGAAGCCGACTTTTACACCTACATATGTGCATAAGTAGCTTGACAACTATTTTGTCGCCTTACAGGTATTCCACAAACAATTCAACTCTCCCATTGGCCTGTATTCAGACAGCAACATCGAGAACACCATCAGACAAACAGTTCCGTAAGTGTCGAATATTTTTTTTAACACTTTAACTCGAATTATTATCTACATACATACATACTATGTATATTTTGCTATACACAAAGGAATGTTGATATACATTTGAGATTTTATTTTCGATAAATTACTCGTAGCTTAATCAATACAAACACACACACATATATATATATATATATATATATATTGTGACGACACATAATGCTTAATTAATTATATCTAATAAATACGAGCTGCAACCAAAGGCTTTTTTTTGCCCATTTAAGTGGCCATCATTTTGCGGAGCGTAGGCCAATCAATATGTATGTTTGGTATGGCTCATGTTGTCGTCATCAGTATTACAAAAGGGCCCATGTGACATTTTTCGGAAAAATTTTGTTCAGAGATTGCTTCAGAGTTGCATTCCAGCTTTTAGCTTAATTTATATATAAAAAAAAAAATAATAAAAATTGCCTATTAGGTCCTTTTGTCATGTTAACGACGACATTCACCGCCGTTTGAGCGCATAACACGCTTAGCAAATTGCTTTGATTTTTTATATAGTCAACTAGGGTGTTAAATCCATAAATATGAAAATGATAAAATTTTGTATACTAAAAATTTTTTTAAACTCTTAAGCGGCTTAGCTCTCTTTTGCAGCGACTATAAAAGTTATGATGTATGTTTGTAGGTTGTTTTTCATATCGGCAAATATTTTAGTTTTATTTTGGAAAACTTCAAACCAAACATTTTTTTTCGTGGAGCCCAGCTTTTGCCTGCGCCAATTTTGCTTATTTTCACAGCTAATTTTGCATATGTCTAGCGTAAGAGTAATCACATGACATTTCAGGACTACAAATAGTACCAAAAAAACATCTAGATGGTGTAACGAAAAAATATAAAAAAAAAAATCCAGTACGGGTCGCATGTTTATCTACTATACTTCATTACCATAATGAACTATTTGTTCTCCGCTTAAGTCATACTCTTCAGAAGCACTGTAAGGGTTACTACTTTTAGGTGGCACCGTGGTCGATTTTTGAAAATACCTAGCCAGAAAAAAGCTTAATTTTGTAATAGTATACCCTTATCCCAACTGTTTAACAAAAAGCTAATATTTTATTTTGAATCAGAAATATAGGAGACAATTATTTCCAACTGAATAAGATTTGCCCTGAATAAAAAGAAAAAAAAATATATAACTGTTAAAAAATTAAAAGCATTCTTCTTACCAAATTCACCTTGAAATTTAAAATTGGTTTAAGAATAAAGATAAAAATTGATTAATTCTCGTAAAAATGTTTCATTTTTATGACTAAGTTGAAAATACTAGAGTGTTAAAAACAATTTGAATTATTCGGCCAGATGTACGACCTAAACTGGCCCACTCAAAATTTAAATTTTCACCATTATGCAGTGTAATTTTTACTCTGAGCTTTCGATTCAAAATGTAAATTGACAGATCACCATTTGAAAAATGTGTAGCTTCCATTCATTAGAGTAGGGTGATTACTTTTTCATCTCCTTGAGAAAATCTGTAAATAT